CCTTTCTTCCTGCCCCCCCTCCATCCTTCCATCCTTCTCTCCTCTCCATCCTGCCCTCCCTGCCTCCTTCCCTCCTCTGCTCGGCCGCCGGCTCCAGGCCCTGCCCTCCGCTGCGGGCCTCTCTGCTCCCGCCGCCGCCCCCCTCGTTTGCTGCAAACGGACTCGTAAATAAGTGACAGCTCCCAGCTGTTGGGAGTTATGGGCTCCCGGAGAGTGACAGCTGCTTCCCGTCCCCCTCCCCCCCTCCCCCGCTCCCGCCAACAGAACGTTTCCAGCCCATAAAAATCATCGCAGATCATTGGCTTTGTGCATAATCGGGCTAAGGCGGCCAACTCGCAGCTTTGGGAAACCGGGGGCTGCGCGCCCACCGCTCGCCTGGGCCCCAGACCCCTGCGCTGCCCTGGCCTTTTAGTGGGAGGTCAGTACGGGACCGCACGGGGCGGGGGGAAGAAAGAGATCTAGTGGGGGGGGGGGGACACGACCAGGAAGGGCTGCTCCTGCCCTCCCCCTCAATTCCTTTGGAGCTAGCAGGGGCCTTGGAGCTCACTTCATCCAAATTCCTCTTTTTACAACTGAGGAAACTGAGGCCCAGGGAGGGCGGGCGGTGTACCCGAGCTCACACAGCCACTTAGTGGCAGAGCCTGGATTTGCACACACTCACACACAAAGAGCTTGGCAAATCACAACGCAGAGTCAGAATTGGAATCCGTATCACGACACCGAATCCGTTGTGTCTCCGGGGACACAGCTGAAAGTGAGTTTCAAGGTCACCTATTCCAAGCACGGAATAAACCTAAATCCCCTTTCCAAGATCTCCCCATGGCTTGTCCCCCATGGCCTTTGCTTGGAGACCTCCAGTAATAGGCAGCTAATTACACCTTGAGGCAGTCTCTCTACTCTGGGACAACTCTGCGAATGAGAAAGTCTTCACTGAGCTCAAACCTCCTGCACCTCAAACCCACTCAGGTCAATTCAGCTGAGTATGAAGCACGCGCCTCCCATAGGGAGAACACGGTGCTAGGCACTGGGGGGAGAAAAGATTAGACAGGAATCATTTAATAAATGCTTTACTAAATCAACAGGGATTTGGAATCAGGAAGACCCAGGCGCCATCTTGCCTCTGAGTCTCAGTTTCCTCTTAATAGAGAAGAGAGTCTCTGCTTTCTTCTGGTTCATGGTCTAATAAACTCAGAATCTATTTGGGCTGGAAAGACCTTAGAGATGGTGGAGCCCTTCTTTCCACAAAAGCCTCCTTGCCCCACCCCAGCTCTGCCTTTGTCCTTGGATGGGGTGTGTCAATCTGCTTCCTTTGGCTCCAATCATCCCGGTAACTTTCTGGACCAAACCTGCCCTCCTCCCCTGGTCACTACTGTTTCCCCCATGAGAAGGTAAGCTCCTAGAAGGCAGGAGTTGGCTTCCATTTTATATTTATGTGCCTGGTGCTAAATAGAGGGCTTGGTGAGTGTGAACACAATACATGCTTCTTCATTCTTTCGTTCATTCATCCATCTGTCCAATAAAACTCCTTTTTACAGAACAATCAATCAATTAACAAGCCTTTATTGAATGTTTACTATGTAGCAGACTTTGTGCTAAGCACTGAGGACAAAAAAGGCTCCAACAGTCCCTGTCCTAGGTGGTGAAGCTGGATAGAGAGATGAGAGTTCAAATCCTGCCTCTGACACTTCCTAACTGTGTGACTTTGGGCAAGCCACTTAACCTTGTTTGCCTCAGTTTCCTCATCTGTCAAATGAGCTGGAGAAGGAAATGGCAAAC